GTGGCGCAGTGGTTAGCACTGTGGACTCACAGCAAGAAAGTCACTGGTTTGCATCTCGGCTGGGTCAGTGTGTGTTTCTGTGTGGAGTTTGCATGTTCTCCCCGTGTTGGCGTGGGTTTCCTCCACAGTCCAAACACATGCGCTATAGGGGAACTGGGTAGGCTAAAATGTCCATAGTGTGTGTGTGTGTGTGTGTGTGTCAGTGTGTGTTGATCACTTTAACCTGCAGAGACTGTGTTTATCACTGTCATCTTAATTTCATCAGTCCCAGAGCATTACAGCTCAGCAAACAGAGAAATACTGAAGCAAAAGTGTGTCAATCCACACACACACACACACACACACACACACACACGGTGATCAAGCCTCTGACCTCAGGTGAGATTGTACACGTGTGGCCATGTTCAGATCCTCATGATGAGCACAGAGAGTGACCTGATGAGGCTGATAACAAATACAGTCCAGCAGAGTTCATCTCAAATCAACATCTGTGACTAAACACACCCTAGCAACCACCAAACAACCCTCATAACACCCTAACAACCACCTGACAAGCACACAACACCCTAGCATTACCAAACAACCAGGCACAACATCCTAGCAACCACCAACAACCACACAACACCCTAGCAACCATAAGCAAGTAAGATCACATAGTAGCCTAGCAACATTCCTGGCAACCACCTAACAACCACCACAACACTCTAAACACTATTCACAGTCCCTAGAAACACACACACAAGCACACACACATACACACACACACACACACACACACACACACACACACACACACACACACCCCTATTTTCCAATAGACTCTCACAAACACATTTTGATCTAATCTGTGTTGTTCTTTGTGTACACACACACACACTCACACAATTCAATTAAGCCACAGCGCTGTGTGTGTGTGTGTGTGTGTGTGTGTGTGTGTATCTAATCCTTCCATTCCATTAGTGAGAATCGATTCGGCTGCTGGAATTGCTGACTAACCCGCAAGAGCTGTGCGAGTGTGTGTGTTGAACATGAAACAGTCTCACACACACGTACGCGCACACACACACACACACACAAATACACACACACAGATTAACCTCAGCTGAAGTGTTTCTACATGATGAGTGTGTGTCCTGATAC